TTTATTTTCGGTGCCAAAGAGAAAAAAGAACAAAAACCTTTTCTTTAAGAACAAGTAGAAGCATAAGCATTCTACTGGCTCCCTCTCTCTGAAATCTGTAGCTGAAAACTCTCTCGGTTTCGATAAAGAAAAGGAATTAATCGGAATCAGATGGCTACCGGTATGGTAGAAGATACGAGCTTCGAGGACGAGCAGCTGGCTGCCATGACCACCGAGGACATTATCAGAGCCACTCGCCTTCTTGACAACGAGATCCGAATACTCAAGGTCCCTTCTTTCTCTCTCTCGCTCACTGATTGTGCTTCCACTTGTATTACTCTAGGGAACTAGTATTTTGAGCGACTTAGGGCTTTTTTTTAATCGCCGTCCTATGACTTTTTTAATTCCCAGAATCATCGATTATTTTCAGAATTAATATGAAAGAATTGACTTTGATTTTAGGGTTTCTGTGTAATTTTCTTATGATTTTATTTGTTTGGGAAATGATGCATTTTTAATATATTTCTATCCGTTATTTGATGCGTTTTAGTATGTGACCTTGTCTGAATTGGGGGTTTTGGATTGCAATATGTAAATGGTTGTGTGTTTTTCTGATATTGTTTTGTGGGATTGAAGGAAGAAATGCAAAGAACAAATTTGGAGTTGGATTCATACAAGGAGAAGATAAAGGAGAATCAGGAAAAGATTAAGCTCAATAAGCAGTTGCCTTACTTGGTAGGCAACATTGTTGAGGTAAGAATTTCTTTCTCTTAATCTCAATTATTTTCGTGGAAAAAGTCTATACATAAACAAAATTTTGGAGAATAGTGTTTAAGCTAAGTGTGCTCAATTGGAGAACTTGGCTCCTTCTGTTTGTCATCTCAACACAGCATTAATTGTAGTCGTATAATGAGTGTATGAAGATGTGAATTAAATCTTTAGTGTTCCTGAAACCAGACTTATTGTGGTCAATCTAGCTACTCTTTCGTTGGTCTTTCTAAAATTATCGATATACTATATGGAGAACTTTAAGCTGTTGAGTTGATGTTAAGCTTTTGATGGCAAGTGAACTTCGTGTTTTTTTTTTTTAGTCTTAGGCTCTTATTG